CCCCCCCCCTCCCGGATCCAACGACCCACCGCGTCAGGGTAACGGATTATCGTCGGGTGAACGAGGGTGCGCACTCTGCGCCCGAAGAGAGAATTCCGTCGGGTAGAACGGACGACGAGCGAGAAAATGACGAATGGCCGGGCGGACGGGCGAATTATCGTAAGTCTAGGGCGAGTTTTAAGATCGCGCGATGCCGATGGCGGTGTCGTTTCGCGTAAAATATACTCTCCAACGAAAATATGCGCGTGCAATGTCCGGCCGGTAGTTATTCGCGCGGTGAGCAATCGCTCGGGGAGAAGTCGCGAGTGAAACAAGTAAATGGATGGTACGGATGGACAAAGTTCTCGATTAATCCTACTCTTAACACCTACTCTTTACTCTGGGCCTGTGCTCCTAACTCTGCGTCTTGGAGACGTGTAGTGATTAATAGAAAAAGACTCAAGGATTTTTTTAATATAACACACACACACACACACACATATATATATATATATATATATATATACAGAATGTTCGGCAATTCACGGAGCATCGCTTGTACGCAGGTAAAATGAGCGGAATTGAGCAGAAAAATTTGATTGTATTCGCCTACATTCAGGTGTATTTTTCACTTTAAACGCGTGCATACTGCTTTTCCCCGACGGTCCTCGGCGATCTTTCAGATGGTTCGAGAATTCCGTCCTCCCCGGAACCTTCCGTCTTTCCGGAACGAAGATGCCTCCGGGGTGTTCGGAGTTTTCGCCATTAGGAGAATTCTGCACGAACCAGGATAAATGATAATCAGAGGGTGCTAAAGTCCGGAGAATAACGGTGAGAGGAGAGTGGGACAGCCCCTCCTCTCCCCTCACCAATTTTTGCCGGATCTGTACGGAAACGCCAGAATTCTGGCGTTATCGCGGTGGAAGATGACGCCGTTCTTGATTAAAATCCTTTCGATTCTGCAGTTCCAGCGACCATCGCCTTCTACGCCTTCGGAATATTTTTTTTCCAGCGTATCGGCGGATCGAAAAACATATTCGTAACATTGTTCAACCTTTGTTCTCGGCCACCTTTCTCTGAAATACTTTATTTTTTCCAGAACGCAAGATCATTCACGAATCAATCAACAACGTTTGTGTTGGCTATAGGAAATAAAATGCGAGCTTTCTCGTGATTCGCCAATAATGTGTTAAGAGTTGTTCGTTTCACTCACTCTAGAGTAACTTGTTTATTATTAACTGAATAAACAGCTCACTCTTCACCGTTGAGACTCGACCAATCTGGATGATTTTTTTATTCAAGAGACGCGTTAAGGTGTCATCTTTCGAACCGACTTCACACGAGGCGCACGGCTGAGAGAAAGAGAGAGAGAGAAAGAGAGGGAAAAAGAGCGTGAGGCCACGGTCAGAAAGACAATGGAAAACGCGGCGTTCCCGCGCACGAAGACGTGGTGAGAGCAGGAACACAAGGGGTGGAGGCAGCAAAGGGGTGACTGCGAAAATAAATCAGGCGCATATCCACGCGCGGTAACGTTTCTCGTTCAATTGTATCAACTTTAACCCCTTCATTGTTTCATTTTTTTCCTTCGCTATCGTTCTGCTTTCGCGCCGTTTGACCGGATTCATCGGACCCTTTTTTCCCCGCTCTACGCTTCTTTCTCGCCGGCGCTCACGGCGAATCGGGTTCCAAACTTCACCCGTGCGAACAATACACAAATGGAACGCTCGAAAGCGCATATAATAAGCTGCAAAGAGACAGGCAGAGAAAGAAAGAGAGAGAGAGAGGGGGGGGGGATAGGACAGAGAAGCGGAATGAAACAAAAACTGGTCTTGCTATATAAAACAATAGGGAAGGGGGTTCCTTCGGCGGGGATGTGAGAATGAGCGGAAGATC